TCTGCTTGCTTTCCGTATTCTGCTGCTGCACAACATCTTTGTTGTTGATTCTCGGTCGTGCCTGTATGTTTCTAAGATTAGCAGATTCCAGCATGTCAAAATCGTCGGCAGCTAAACCTCGGACACTGCCGCGTACACTCGGTGGAAACGTGTTTAGGCGAGCTATCAGTTTCGCCTTGCACCCTTTTGTCGATGCTCTAAGGACAGTTAGCCAATTTTTCATTCGGATGACAGTGAAAATGTTTAATACAATTTTTTTCGCTGAAGTTAAACCAATTCTGATTTTCTAGAAGGCAAATGTCGCTTACAAAGTAAAAATAATCGTCTTGATACGTCTTTTTATTCAGATGGTCGATCGCGACCGACTCTGCTTTCATTTTATATTTACATTGTTTTTTTTAGCTAACACGGTTGGCTTAGGTGATGTTTTGCCTGGTTGGGCCTTCAGGCCTTATCGTGGACGAACGTCAAAAGCGGCATTTTTGAATAATTCTGCATCGTCAGGAGACTCTAGGGCGTCTCTTATATCGTGATTGGAGGAGGTCCTTGAACTATCTTCTCTTGAGCCTCCTTACTACTCACCTCCCAGCGAGGTCGCTTGCTACCCAATTGCAGTGTCGCTGCAAGCGTTCGTTTGGCGAATTGGCGAATGGTCCGACTTGAATGCCTATGGTCGCCATTTAGAGGTCTCTGCGCAAGGCAGAATTTCTAGCGTTCTAGTCAGCACCGGTCAACCGGTGCAAGACCAAATTTTGGAGTGTCTGAATCCGTCTTCGATTTGTCCGAGACGCAGTGTCCCAAGCTGAATCCATATCTCCAAGTTGGCGCCACCAAAACGTTGTAAACTACCCGTCCGTAGTAACCAGCTGGCCTTGGCCATCGTAAAGCGGCACTGCCTCAGAAAGCCGTCCATGTGCACCCGAAAGTTAAGTCTATTATCCAGTACAATTCCAAGGTATTTGGCGCTTCTGCCAGGATGAAGGGGGCTGACATTTATCCAGACTGCTGGAGCCTTGACACGCCTCGTTGTTCATAGTTGTCACATAGTTCGAGGCTTTATGTTCCACCTGCGAAAGTGGAAGAATTCCTAACCCCCGTCGGTGTCTTCGAGCTCATTCATCTGTATTTGGAAGACACCGAGATCAGTGTGTGCGTTGATCAGCCTCGCTATTGCGCTGACCAACGTGCCCTGCTCTCCAGGAAAACTATCAGGGCCAGTTTGTTGCTCGGGAGATCCCAATCATCAGCGATTGAAAGGAACTGGGCAGGTATCTCCTAGAAGATGGCGAAGTCTATGCAAGACGGAGTGCCTGTGCTGCCGTACGGGTGTCTTGTGGGAGGACCTGTGGCCAGTACATTCGCTTGACGGTACGCTAGGCTACCTGGTTAATGACCACGCGCATTGCTGCTATTTGCGCCCCATAGCCAGTGATCTGCATTCCAGTCGCCTCCCACCAAATGTTCAGCCGAGTTGAGTATGACGTTGCGGTCATTAGTCGACGTCTGCTCATTTCACTTGCAATAGACTGCTCCAAAATCCACATTACCAGCATCAGAGACTTCCACAGTCGAATATTGTTAAACAAGATTAGCAATACTCAATTGCGGAAAGTGAGTCACTAGCTGAGCGATTATGAGTCCAGCGTACAGGGTACACCTCGAAGCCACCGATTCTAGGGAAAGTAGGGCGCTAGTCCTAGTTTCTGACAGCTGAACTATTCAGAATTCGAATTATTATTCAGAATTATTCGAAGGGCCTCCAGCTCTAGTTCTTTACCTGAAATGCCATTGGCATTCCAGATTAGCATTCCAGATTAGCAAAAACCTGCTGTTGCATTTCTGCCATCCTCTCGATAACTCGGTTCATATCCTTGAAGGCAGAGGAAAGTCCTTTCCCGTTTCTAGATGTGTGCAGTTGCTGTTGTTGCGCAGTCAGTCTCTCCTGTTGCTGATCCCTTAACCGTCTATGCAGCCCAGCTTGTGATGGTCCTTCTCGCTGGCTAGAGCTGGGGGCGTTGATCACTTTGCTGAATGCAGTTAGTCCTTTTCTGATGCCCGTCTACTTGTTCAGTGGGCTCTTAACAGGAGTAGTCGACAGGTGTAGGCTCATGCACTTTAATGCTGCGACTTCGGTTCACTTGAATCGGTGAGAGATTTATAATTTAGGTAGGCTTTGGGGCCCCCGCACGCTTTATGTATTCGGTGAAACATTCGCAGCCCTTATAGTTGGCAGGGTGGTTACCACCACAGTGGCCGCATTTAACGCACTTTTCTTCGAGCCATCTCCACCTTGACCACCTGCTTGTACAGCTTCCAGACAGTAAGATCCTATTTGTTGTTGGCCGCCGACTGGAAGTTAATGAAGTGAATATTTGTGGGCTTCTCGGTCCAGTGTGGAGTGGTGGAGGCCTCCGATTACTATGAGGTAGGGTTTCTCCTCCTGCAGCTGGTATGAGTAGAACTCAATTTTTTGTTCTTCCAATCTGGGTACGATGGCCCTGTAAGTGGGCACATCATTGACTAGGAGTCACATGGTCCTACTCAGGCTGGATTTGATGGTCAGACTATCTAGGTCCACTAGGGGAGCGGCTTCTTTCCTCCAGTTATATTTACTAGGAAGTTAATGTGGTCTGTATTCGCCCTAGCACTTTTCTGTTTGTTATTGGATCCCAATACTTGATTCTTTGCACTCTTTGTGCGGAATTGCAAAAGTCGGGTTTGGCCGTTTGGGCGCCCACTCGAATTTTGATTTTAAATTTTGCGAGCACGTCCGTTCACCTTCAACACCAAAAATTGACCTTTATACCTACAGATTAAAGAAGAAGTGACAAAGTGTTTATAGAAGTGTGAGCGAGACATTAAGTAATCAGATTTGTCAAATTAAATGGCCCTGACTATGCGATTGCATGTATGTACACATGTATCCTACTACATATTTATACTCTAAACCCATTGAAAATGGTTATATAGGGTATAATATTTATTTATTTATTAATGGTCGACAAAACGAGTGTCTTCCTCATTATTCAATAGATTATACAATAGAATTTTATGCTAAAGGCCTAGTTAAATGATACAATTTTCTAAATAGCATCACCGACCGATGGAGGTGTTTTATTTGTCAGTCCGGCCAGCTGTGCCCCTTTTCACAGCTAATTTTGTCAGTGACGCTATTAGAGCCTACATCTAAGCAGAAGGTTGTAAGTAGGAAAAAAGTGTTCTCAAGTAATATTAAAATAATCTTAATTTGCTATATTAAAAAAAAAAGAAAATACAATAAATAGGACAAATGAAAGTAAGAAGATTGTTAATAAAGTAAAGCAATGTAAGTTAGATAAAGAGTGTTAAGTAGATAAGACAGAGAGAAAAGTAATGGGAAATCACCGACCCGGTGGGGGAAAATTTGTCAGCCTGTCCGGCAAGCTATGCCCCTGCTCATAGCTGGGAATGGTCAGCGACTTCCCGAAGGTATCCTGAAAGCAACGATTTTATTAGGGGTAGAGACAGTTCGGTAGAGAAAACGTGATGCAAACTATTATAATTTTTACATAGCACGCGAAAAGGATTGTGCATAGCGTAGTCTGTTGTGAACGTAGATAGTAAAAAGGGGCGATAATTTCTGGTTGGTCTAGCCGGAACAGAGAATTGAAGACGCCCTAGCAGAAAAGGAGAATCTATGTCGCCAATAATCAACTTATGTAGAAGGACAACACCGAGAATTGTCCTACGGTTGGTTAACGACGGAAGGTTGAGAAGAAGCAGTCTGCTGGAGTAGGACGGCAACCGAAGATTAGGGTTCCAATTTAAACCTCGTAAGGCAAAAAGCAGAAATTGCTTCTGAACAGATTCAATACGATCCTGGCTGTTGTTATACTGTGGAGACCAGATGCAAGAGCAGTATTCAAGGATAGGGCGAACAAGAGAGATGTACAGAAGTTTTGTTATAAAAGGATCGTTAAACTCTTTAGACCAAGTACACCTTTTGCCTCATTAACGATGGTATCTATGTGAAGATAGTTGTTGGAATTTCGGGTCGCCTAGTGCAGTACGCAGTAAGAGTTTAATTTTGATACTCGATAACTTTTCCCGTTTCCAAGTAATCAATAAAATTCGATAGCGAAGTCCCACTTAATATGTAGCTTTTAGAATAGTCTATATATATATCAAGTATCTTACTTTTTATAACTATCGCCACCTCCCGGCTACCATTACATAGTTATAAATCAAGTGAATAACCAATTTGTATTGCACATTTAAGCCACAATTTAAATGCAATTGTGTTTTTGAGAATATACAAATAACCAATAGTACATTTCATTAAGATCGGTTAACAAACACAGTGGTTATCAAAGAAAACGTTTTCTGTATACATCCATCAACATCATTGCAATTGCGGCAGTATTTTATTCTGTGATGTGGTCATGTGCCGCTATTTTAATTAGTTTTTTTGTTTCATAAGATTCTGTCACAGGTTCGATTCCTACTAGGATAAAGGTTTTTTCTTTATTACTGATAAAGCAAACGGGCTCGTAGCATGAGCTGCATTTGATGCATTTGGTAGAAATTTGGTTACGTGTTTTATTTTATACTTTAATTTGAATATAAAATTTTACTTTGAAATTTGAGTTAAACATTTTGTAAAGATATACAGACAGACATATACATAAAAGCTTATTACTAAATAGTTATATGGTTAAATTATTTCTCACCCTGCACAATCTCTTCGAATACGAAATTTTATAATTTGTAATCTTGATTATTAAATGAAACGTTTAAGAGAATATATTATTCATGCCAATGGCATCAAGCGATAATATACTTTCAATATTTAACGTGAACTTATATGGACATGAATGAGAATAATAGTGCACACTTATTTAACGATATACGACTTGAAATATTTCCTACTGTCAGTTTATGCAGTTGCTTTTAAGCGACGTGTTTGTGCATCGAACAGACTTTGAAATTATACTTGAATTTTATCAATTTTATATTTACAGGAGGAATAAAACTATTCAAGTATCAGGCTCGCAAATAGCACCGTCGTTAACGGACACAAGTGCTCGTCGCTCGTATAGAACAAAATCTAACCTTGCGACGGACGAAAATATTACAGTGTTAAGTCAAAACACTTTAATGCTAAATAGGCGCCCTGGTCGTTGGCAATATAAATCATCACCGAAACCAAAAGTTAATATAAGAAAATCTTCCACAAATAATGCGAAATATGAAGTACAAATGGATACACTCAAAGTTAATAATACTATTTTAGAAACAAACGAAGACAATCAAAAAATACCTAAGGCTTTTACCCTAGCCAAGGACTTAGATGCTGTTGGTTCACAAAACACTATTGTTTCAGACAATGATATAATAAAGCCTAGCAACTTCATTGAAACTTTAAATGTCGAAATATCAACCCCAAGTAACTTTGATGATACTTACTATGAAATTGCAACAATAAAAAGCCCATATATTTTTCAGGTAAATAATAATATTTTTACTTTTTTAATTACATATTAAATCTGTAATCCCATACATATATCTCAGTGTTGCCTACTACACATTCTATTGTTTTTCGCTTCGCTCCCAATTTCTACCAATGCTTGGACAACATTGGCCAGAGGCTCATTGTTGGAGGCGACCCCGATATCAAAAATCCAAAAGTCGGTGCTATATAAGTTTCAAATTACAATCAGACTTAATGTCATTCCTCTAGAGAGCTCACTTGCTGGTCCACAGATATAGACAATATCATAAACAAGCTGGAACTTTTTTAAAGAAAAACGAGGTGAAATATCACCACCAGCAATATTATTAAGCTGTACTCCGGAAACTGTGCCATTCACTTGATGGGTAGAGAGCCAGTAGACGAATGTCAGAGTCATTGATCGTCAGTTCTGGTTGCAGAAAACATGGACTCAGCCCTCGAACTGATCACTAGATCTCACGTAGAGATAGTGGAGTACCTGAAAACAAAAATCCACAACGCCGCGACGTTCGCCACTCCTCCCAGCTAGTTTCAAATCGCAACCCCCGCAACTATTTTCACCTTTTGTCTGTGGAACTCGCAATACAGGTTGCTGAGAAAATTTGCCTTTGCCAAGTATGGAGCCGAAAGAAATTCAAAGGACTCATGTTTAGCCTCTGTCTGACTTCAACCTATTGAATTTCTCGAAGTCGGCATCAAATGGTTCACAAAAGAAGAAGGAGCATGTGATGCCACAAGATTATTATAATTTGCGACTAAGCAACTCCTGTTAGGATCGGTTTAACGGGCATACCAACACCTTTGCCATCAACCTACTCTACAAAGGTCCACTATGAGAAAGCTCTAGGGCAATAATACATTATTCTCTTAATTTCTTTTCCTCTCTACTAAGCACTTGTATTAGCAGTAAAGCCTCCACCAAGGAATATTCATTATTTCCATTACCCGTACAATTTTCTGTTATTCATATACTAATAGATGAAACAAATTCCAAGATGCAATTCTTCTGGTATTGGAAAAATACTAGATATTTTCTATAAAGAAAGAAATGAATGCCAATAACATTAGGTAACAAAATTAAATTTTTGTACGTCTATTCCACAACAACTTTTTTGGATTTGTTTATAACATTTTTAAAATCTGGTATTCTATTTATAGGTGAGCCTGCATATTTGATTTCCCGAAAACTAATAAATGCATAGAATTTATTCAAAAGGCTCTTCAACTTAGAAAATTATTAGTTTTGCAACTATGTAATAAATAAAAGCCTCATTAGAATCCACAATTTTCTAATAGAATCACCGACACGATGGATGTGTATTATAAGTACGACCGGCCAGATATTCCCCTTTTCACAGCTAATTTTGTCAGTGACGTTATTAGTACCTACAGCTAAGGTGTAAGTAGAGGAAATAGTGTTCTTAAGTACAAATTAAAAATAATTTTATGTGACTGTACTTTAAATAAGAAAAAAAGAAAGAAAGAAGTTATTACAAAAGTAAGAGAATTTATGCTAGATGTATAGAGTGTTAAGTGATAAGATAAAATGATAGTGATGGGCAATCACCGACCCGATAGGAGAAATTTATTGCCTATCAGCAAGCTATGCCCCTACCTTTAGCTGGGAATAGTCAGTGAAAGTATCATGAAAGCATCAATTTTATTAGGGGAAGAGAAAGTTCGGTGGAGAAAACGTGATACAAGCTGTTGCAATTTTTGCATAGTACGTGAAAAAATTGTGCGCAGCGTAATCTGCTGTGCACTTAGGAAGGAATAAGGGGCGATAACTTCTGGTAGGTCTAGACGGAAAAAAGAATTGAAGACGCCCTAACAGAAAAGAAGATCTATGTCGCCAACAATCAACTTATGTAGAAAGACAACACCGAGAATTGTCCCACGATTAGTTAACGAACGGAAGAACGGAACGGAACGGAACGGAAGATTAAGATGAAGAAGCCTGCTGGATTAGGATGGCAACCGAAGGGGTCCTAATTTAAGCCTCGTAAGGAAAAAAACAAATTTGTTTCTGAACTGGTTCAATTCAAGAGCAGTGTGAAAGGATCGTTAAACTCTTTAGACCAACGTTTAATGAATCCAAGAACACCTTTAGCCTCGTTGATGAAGGTAACTGTTAGTATACGTTGCAATGGAGTATTGTCAATTATTTAACTGATTTTTGGTGTAGTACGATTGAAGGTCATAAACACACACTTTGAACAGTTCAGATACAATTGATTGACCGAACACCAAAGTTGCATAGCGTTCAAATCATCTTGTAGAAGAAAGTGACGTAGGGGATTAATGTATAAAAGTATAAGTTTCACATCGTCTACCTTCATAAGTACAAGGACATGTGATGTAACCGAGGGGAGATTTTTTATAAAAAGAGTAAAGAGTAAAGGTGTTTTGAAGTAGTCAGCCTCAGCATTACTTGTTGGGTCCTACTTTTTAAATAAGAAACAAGTAAAAGATTCTAGACGGGAGCTCCCGACTAGGGGATACCCTGAACCCTCTTATTCCAACACCAAATGCAGGTCGCAAAACGAGCTCGTTTGAAGTAAAAATATCTGAAAAAGGAGGAACATAGAAGCTATGAAAATATCGCGTGATGGGAATCTTAGGGTCGGTAGGCGTTCTAGAACATAGAGGTTCTGACTAGAAAGTGGCTTTAACGGCAATTAATACCCCCACCTCGAGTCGGCCTATCACTTCTATGCACAATAAAACTTAAAAACTTAAAAATTAGATGTTAGATAGAATTAAACCATGTTTCTGAAAATCCGAATATATCCGAATCTAAAGAAGTGCTAGCCATAAAACGAATTTTAAGCTTAGAAATGATGGTATGACATTCTGATAAGGAATAGAAACTAGGTCGGAAGACGGAGCTAGATTTTGGTGGCAGTAACAATAGTACCTTGTATCGAAAGGGTGGGAAGGGTGACAGGGAAAGGATGGTTTCACTTTTTGTGCTTGAACTCGTGAACTATCATTTGAGGATGCCGAAATTAAGAATCACAAACGATTGCGGACGAGTCATATGAAAAAGAAATTTGAATGATGATATTTCGTGAGGATTGGGGAAATTAAATTTATTAAGCGATACGCTAGCAAGAGATTTGCGTGCAATATAAACATCAACTTTGTTTGAGAGCTGCTTAACCACTTTATTAAGTTTTAAGAATTGATTGCTCACAGAATTTTACTTTCCACACGACTTTTTTTTAATAAAAGATAAACTCGCCATTTTGTCTAAGTTCTTATGGCAGCCAGCCCTTCGAGCTTTTATTAGTGATACTTCTCCTCACTATACTTTGTCTTACTACTCATGTACATTGCAGGATTCAAAAAGTGATTTTCTGATTTTCTCTACAATAATACAGCCCCAAACATAAAATTAAATGCATTTGTATGAATCGCCCTAGCCAATTTGGGATTATACAACATTCCAACTACCATTTTGAATTATTTGAATGCGAGCTGCTGCAACTCCTTAAGTACAAAGTTAGGATAATTCCTAAGCATGTCCGACAACGGCTTAGCAATAACCGCGTATCCCTCAACAAATTTCCTTAAATAAAAAGCCAAACCAAAAAAACGTTGTACACCTTTTTTTTTTTGTTTTTAAGTATTTAGATATTTAATGAGCGGCTTTTAAGGTCGCCAATTGCCTTATGCACCATTTGTGTGTCATTAGGTTTTTGTTAAGAAAAACTAGTTTTAGATTTTTTTCTATCAGATAGACAGCCTGAGAGGAGGAGGCCGCGTTGCCCTAGGGATGGGTGTGCGCAGTTGGGGGTGGAGAATCTGGGCAAAAGTTCTTCTTCTTAATCTTCTGATGGGACGGGCACCTTAAAGAGTACTAGCGAGCCTGTTGGCACGGTTTTCGGAAATTTGATACCACTCGCGTTTTCTCCTCACTTGGCTTAAAAGTACCGCTTTCCAAAATGTTCTATGAAAGTTACCTTCTTCTACACAAGTCGTTCCTTGCCGCAACCTCAACTAATCTCTGCAACCCTTGCAATCCTTCCTCAACATCTATAGTGGTGATGACGATATTATCCATTTGTCAAATCCAAAGTTGTAAAAATCAGTGCTCCCTGCAGCTTCTCAAAGACACTTTACCTGTGATAATCGAATTTCCAGTAGGCTTTGTGCTTAGCCTAGCTTTTCTTTCTGCATTCACATTCACTGGCCAACCTGTGGACAAGCTCTGTTTCATTTTCAGTCACTTTCATATCAATAGTTTCAAGAAAATTACCTTTAAGTTAACAACAGACTTTAGGAATAGCCCGGAGGTACAAGCACTAGCTTTGTTCTCCCCTCATCGTGAATAAGATTTGTTCTCTTTTCTTGCTTTATATGCCCGTTAACCTAACACTTAACTGCTAACTGCTTGAATTTAATTTGCAGACGTTCTTTTTGTAAATGTGACACGTCACTACATTTGAAACCTCTCCTTACTATTTCCAAAATTTTTCCTGAGACAGTCTCCTTTTTGCCGAGATGCAAGCTATATTTCATTTGCGTCTTCAACTGCCTCTTGTTTCTAGCTTGGTAGAATAGGGCTTTATTTAATCTGGTATCTGGTAAATCATTAAAGAAATATTCTATTAAGCTTTCCTCTTCGAAATTAATCGGCTTCGCTGTCTCCATCGTCATATACAAATATTTATGCATTGTTTCGCTCTTTTTCTACTGTCGCTTGCAAAGCCCACGATGTATCCCATGATAACCTAAGAGCAAAATCATCGCACAATGCAACTTTAAATGTACTTAGATCGCGAATATTTCGTTGGCTCAGCAATTGTATTGCGGAAATACTCAATTGCAACTGCCTCAAGTTTTTCAATCCACTCATTTATGTCTAGGATGCTCGACCGAGAGAATTGTGTCACATTATTTTCTGCATCCTTTAACGTTAGTCTACTTAACTTCGTCTCGCCGGAATCGTTAATCCGACGAATAGTTTTCGTTTTGATTTTGGTAATTGTTCTACTCAAAACACCAATACAAAATCCAAATTCTTCTTCTCATCTTGCTTGCGCTACCAGTTATTGACCACTTCATTCGTGCATTTAACTGCCATCACAACCCTTTCAATTTCTGATCTTGTCGTTACATTTTCTGATTCCCCCCCGCCGAAGGTAGAGACAACTCACGTTCTTCTGATGTAGAATTTAACAGTTTTTTATGTACACTGCTAACAAAACAATATTTTAGTCTGTGTATCTTTACTATTGCTTACCCACGCTTTTTTAAATGGATAAATTTTCGTTGCCATCGATAATCTAATAAATACCTTCACACCCCAGCACTATCGTTAATAACGACGGTACCATCAACAATTTTTGACAACTCTACTATTAGGAAATAGCGGTCATTCAAACGCCAGGCGACTATCAAGTACTCAGTCAGGAGATGGGAGGGCCTATGGGCGCCTTCTTCTCAGGATGGGACCACGCTTTTGCTCTCAACCTGGAGGATAAGTTGTTGGATATTCGAAGCATCCCTGTGCATATTCACAACAAAGTGGAGTCGGCTATTCGCAGAAATGGACATGTACCGAATTTTGTATGATCCCCAAAAACGGAAAAAACCTCCATAACGTGCATTTGTATAGGCTTATAACCTTGCTATCCAAGATTTTCGAGCGACCCCTACTTAAGAGAATCTTTGAAGTAAGGGCAGACTACGAAGCGATCTCCAAGTAAATTTTGGATTCGCACCTTCCCTGGACATCAAGCAGTCCCTTGACCGGTTGTGGCACGAACTTCTCTGCAAGCCTCCCTCCCTTCTTCCCCTGTTGCACTTCAGAGTCGTCAGGAGTTTTCTGGACGACCGATCCTACCGGCTCAGCAATAAACGGAATCAACAGCCGGAGTACCCCAAGAGTGTGCTTGGTCCCTACAACATCCCCAATGTAAATTCGAAAATCATTTTCATTACTACAGTTGCAAATGACACAACGATCCTGGATCGCGACGTGTGTGTGACACAACGATCCTGGATCGCGACGGCAGTGTTAAGGACACTGACAGTGTCCAGAAGTACCTTGCCAAGTCCTGAGCAGCAAACTGGAATATGGGACTGAACACTGGTGAGTGCGTAGTAGACGGCTCATGTCGAAAACTCACTTTAGCCACATAGAAAATCGGTTTATTATATCGACAACAGTATTGACAATAAATACACCCTAATCTCTACATTTTATTACCCTAATATTCCTATTAAAATTAAGTTAAGTTGCCAATGTTGCGTATGTTTGTCTAAGTATGTATGTATTGGTTAATGCATGCAAATTTAATCAACTTAATGAGTATGTATAATATATCTTTGTTGATGCGATCGATGTTCTTAGTTATACATTATAGAAATGGGCTGCTTTCAGATCGTCGATAGCTTGCTGGCGTTCGTGCTTCTGTTTTTGATAGAAAAGGTTTGAATATTTCTAACGTCCCTGGGTTCTGTGTATCCTCTATTTGGGCACCGCCTAAGCACTGTTACATTTTTGTCTGTTTTACCAAAAAATGTTTAAGATCTTTGACTTTAATCAATATTTTAATCTTTGCTAACATATTTTCTTCTAACATAACATATTTTTCTTCTTTTTTTGTAGGCGGGACTTGTAAAAAAAACGCGTTTTTTAACAGTTACTTCAACTGTGGAAAAATCACTTAAAAATGATAGAATTGATGAATATTCGGAAAATGATGGACCTTTAACTGAAAACATTTTGGAATCTACTACGCAGATGATTAAGCCATCGTTTAATGGAATTTTAACTACTTTGAAACCCATTCATTACACAGATAGCGTTGAGACTCCAGAACTTGAAATAGTTACAGAATCATTTTCATTTACGCAAGCCAAACTTAAAACTGAGATCTTGCCAATCGTTTTTGATAAACAAAATGAAACTACACAAATAACTTTAATACAAACTTATGATTATACAAGCTTTGTAACTGTTACTCAGACAGTCTCGCCCTTCAGAGAAAATTTTATACCATCTAAAAATTTTAAGGATTTTGAAGGCATTTTGGATGAGGCTGGTTCTGAAATAAACCTGGATCTTGAATTTGGCGATGAAAGCAATTCCGGGCAATTTGAGGTTAAATCGAATTCTAATAAAATGATCGAAATAAAAGGCATAAATTCTACAAGCCCAATTAGCCCCTTTCAGTTGAAGGACTCAGAGCATTTTATCAAATCCGAAATACCTGCAATATCAAGTCCATTTAATAGCATAATAACTACCACACGTCCGATAATTAAGGTTGATACGGTTTGGGAATCATATGTGGTACCTCTTATTAGGGGAACCGAAAGCATTTTGAGAACTTTATCAAAGTCAGTTGGTGTAGTTGAAAAAACTGAATATGTAACTGATGTTTCTACAATTTTATTACCAATGTCACAATATCCATATTCAATTAATCCATTTTATAATCCCTTGTTAGCCATACCTCAGCAGCAATTAATTACATCTACTTCAATTTATGAAACATTGATTACAGCAACGAGTAGTAAAGTCCTTAAGTTAACATTCGGTGCAAGGACGGCCTATACAACATTGTTTTCAACTTCAATTGTTCCAACTGCAGTCTCCAAATTAGTAACAGCTACTCTCCCAAATCAAAACTCAGGATCCTTTCAAAATTATTATTCACCCCCATTTCCCCCATTCGCGTACGTTGGTTAATGAATAGATATATTCCTTTCCAATTAATCACATTCACTTAACTATTATAAATAAACTGAAATTATGACGAGTCCTTGCACTAATAACGTTTAGATTCTTGTCCTTTGGCCAAATTAAGTGGCGCTCATAAAAGTTTGTGTTTCTTAATGCTGAAAATCGGATTACCGCAGGATGAACCTAGGCTCAACCTGCAGATTCATTTTAAAATTAATTATTATATAAAATCAATTAATCGTTGATATTCAAAAATTTGGTGTGTGACCTAAATATATTTTGATAGTCAAGATAAAATAAAGAATAAGTTTCATATATGATTCACATCCAAGGAAAACTTATTTCATCTTAAAGTTTTGAGTTCTGAGTAGACTTTATTGCAAACCACTTTGTAAACATTTTTTAGCACAAAAATATAGCTGATATCGAATTAAAAACAATAATTTACTACATCCACTTTTATTTTTAGATATTTTAGACAAACTTTGAATCCGCAGGGAAAGCGAAAATAAGTAAAATCAACATTGTTGTAATCAAATTTTAGTGTATCTTAAGTATTCTAAAGCTCTCACGCAAGGAAAACGGAAAATTTTAAAGGACTTTCTGAACATATTGTAAATCTTATTATCATTATTTTGTAAAAAACAGAGCAATCATCGAAAATCAAACATTTTAATCTATTTAAGAACTTCCAAGTTTTTTTAGCCAATACATTTGTGGAAAAGAATAAATTGAACAAGTAAGAGGTTCTATTCGGGAGCTCCCGGCTAGGGGATACCCTGAACCCTCTTCTTCCAACATCAAATACATATATATATTCTATTTTAGAAGCTGTTTGGTGACTCTAGCTCTTATTATTTACCCAAATTGCCCAAAAAAACATGCTTTCGATATCGATTTTTATCGATTGCTTGGAAACAGAGTAAGTTATCGATTATCGGAAACAAACTCGATCTGCGCAGACACTAGGAGCACCTTCATCTAAAATTTCAAGTCTCTAGCTCTTATAGGTTCTGAGATCCTTGCGTTCATACATACGGAAGGACGGACGGACGGACGGACAGACAGACAGACGGACATGGCTAGATCGAGTCGGCTATTGATGCTGATCAAGAATATATATACTTTATGGGGTCGGAGATGCTTCCATCTGCCTGTTCTATACATTTGGATTTTGCACAAATACAATATACCCTTATACCCATTTTTAATGGGTTCAGGGTTTAATTAAGATGAATACTTTACTTATTACGCGATGTACTATTTTCGACTCTATTTTTATATGTTATGCAGTCAAATCAAAAGTGAAATTAAAATCCCGATATCTTTTATGTTTATTAAGAACTGAACATCTCAAAAGAATATATCGTTCAGGAACGCTTGAACTGCTGAGTTGCACACATCGTTCATGACCGACTGAACGAGTACATAAAACATCATTCATGACCGACTGAATAGCTGAACGAGTGAACTAAATGACCGATTTAGTTCACTAATCACTGAATAAGGTCAGTAGTTCATTTTAATGACCTGTTCAATCGAACTTTGTCTGAACTAAACGTCACAACTCTAATGCGAATGAATGTAACAGGCAGTCCGTATTTATGAACGCAAGGATCTCAAAACCTATAAGAGCTGGAGACTTGAAATTTGGAGCGTACGTGCTTTAAGTGCTCGCGCAGTACTAGTTTGTTTTCGATAATCGATAACTTGCTCCGTTTTTAAGTAATTTATTAAAATCGTTATCCTGGCTTTGAAAAAATCTCGTAAGCTATAAAGGCTATATGTAGCTTTTAGAATAGTATATATTACTATAAATTAAGTAAAAACAACAATTTGTATTATCCACCAATTAAAGCCACAGGGTTTTTGAAGAAATTGTTTGGGAACAAATTAATTATTATTCTTTGCTTGACTGGGAATATTATACAAAAGACTTTAATCTTTTATTTGAAAGGCTACATATTTGCAAAGAAATTAAGATATCTTAGTAGAATCTGTATTACGATTTGGGTAAGTATTTAGTAGTTATGAAGCTTGCAATTTAACATCTATATACATATATTTATTTATTTATTTATTTATTAATGGTCGACAAACCGAGTGTCTTCCTCATTATTCAATAGGTTATACAATAGATAATAGAATTATATGCTAAAAGCCTAGTTAAAGAATACAATTTTCTAAATAGCATCACCGACGGAGGGAGGTGTTTTATTTGCCAGTCCGGCCAGCTGTGCCCCTTTTCACAGCTAATTTTGTCAGTGACGCTAGCCTACATCTAAGCAGAAGGTAAATAGGAAAAAAGTGTTCTCAAGTAAAATTAAAAATAATCTTAATTTGCTATATTAATGAAGAAAATACAGAGAATTGAAGACGCCCTAGCAGAAAAGGGGAATCTATGTCGCCAATAATCAACTTATGTAGAAGAACAACACGGAGAATTGTTCTACGGTTGGTTAAAGGCGGACGGTTGAGAAGAAGCAGTCTACTGGAGTAGGATGGCAACCGAAGATTAGGGTCCCAATTTAAACCTCGTAGGCAAAATGCAGAAAATGCTTCTGAACAGATTCAATACGATCCTGGCTGTTGTTATACTGTGGAGACCAGATGCAAGAGCAGTATTCAAGGATAGGGCGAACAAGAGAGATGTACAGAAGTTTTGTTATAAAAGGATCGTTAAACTCTTTAGACCATCGTTTAATGAATCCAAGTACACATTTTGCCTCATTAACGATGGTATCTATGTGAAGATTGAAACAGAGTTTAGAATCAAAAATAACGCCTAGATCCTTAACTGTTAGTATACGTTGCAAAGGGATATTGTCGATTGTATAACTGACAAGATAAGGTGTAGTACGATTAAAAGTCATAAACATACACTTTGAACAATTTAGATGCAATTGATTGGCCGAACACCATAGTTGCATAGCGTTCAAATCGTCTTGTAGACGAGAATGATGTAGGGGATTAGTGTATGATAGAAAAAGTTTGACATCGTCCGCATACATGAGTACACGGGCATTTGATATAACAGAGGGGAGATCATTTATAAAAAGTGTAAAGAGTAAAGGTCCAAGATGACTACCTTGAGGAACACCAGAAGTAACGTGAACCCGTTTAGAGGTAGTCAGCCTCAGCATTACACTTTGGGTCCTACCTTTTAAATAAGAATTAATCCAAAGCAAAAGAGATAGGGCGAAACCTATTCGGTCAAGTTTAAAAAGTAAAATGTCATGGTGCACAGAGTCAAACGCCTTACTGAAGTCAGTGTAAATGACATCAGTTTGCATTTTCGAAAGGAAAGCATCATTTACCAAGGAAGTAAACTCAAGCAGATTGGTCGTAGTTGACCGATTCTTTACGAATCCATGTTGAACAGGGGAAACAACTGATTTGCAGAAATGCTGCAAATTCGAAGTGATTATTTTTTCAAATAATTTAGGAATAGCGGACAGTTTAATTAATTAGGAATATTGTCCGGCTCAGGAGAGTAAGAAGATTTTAAAGAGTTTATAGCTAATAGGAGAGTTTATAGCTAATGAAATAATGGGCGGAGGTATAGAACTAGCGGAAGAAATAGTATAAGGATGTGAGGCGGCTAATGAGACCAGCCACCCTACAGTTTTCACGGCAAGGAGCCGTCATCCCTTTGGCCAATTTACGGCAAGGAGCCGCTGGCGGGACAACGTATTAATTTTCTTTAGTTATAAGTATTAATTATATTAGGTTAAGATCTTAGTGAAATAAGAGGCAAGGAGCCATCAGTAATATAAGCAGTTCGATTAGTGGTAAAGAGGCAAGGAGCCGCGAATATTATAATTGATTTAAATAGTGAGTTTGAATTTAACCGACGGCCGCCGCTGCAACCGTGCGTTGCCGATCGGTTGCTCAACACCGTCTTTGAGAGCGCAACTTCAATTCGGCGGCGAAGAGCGAAAGGCAAAGTTGCGAAAGCTCGCGGCGAAGTTGAGCAGCCGAAGCGAGCGCATGGCTTGCCGGCGAGCGTGCCGGCACTTGGGATTGAACATTAAGGGTAAGTAGAAGTGCTGTGCGAGATAAACGAAATTATAGATGGTATAGTGGAGCGCTAGGGCTCCAGAAAACAGTGCGGCAGGGTTTAGCTTAGGATTTACGATAAGGTCGGAATGAATAATAGTGAATAAAGTGCCAACGTTGTAATTATCTAGAAAGTATTGGATTATTCTCTGTTTCCTGGTAACCCGGCTTACCTTAACATCGGAACTAACCGGTGTTCGACCTAACCTCGAACGAGGGGCGTGCGGTACGAGATTGTAGCTCCGGTGTGGGCATTGCCGGTTGGTGTTTAGGTAGTGGAGTTGGTGCGAGGCCACGGCCCGCTAGTGTAGTTGGTGCGAGGCCACGGCCCACTAGCATAGTGGTACGAGGCCACGGCCCGGCAGAAAGATAGAGCGATTAGGCAGTGGAGTTTGTGCGAGGCCACGGCCCCTAGTGTAGTTGGTGCGAGGCCACGGCCCGCTAGCATAGTGGTACGAGGCCACGGCCCGGCAGAGAGATAGGGTGTTTAGGTAGTGGAGTTGGTGCGAGGCCACGGCCCACTAGTGTGGTTGGAGCGGGCCACGGCCCGCTAACATAGATGGTACGAGGCCACGGCCCGATGGTATAGGTGTGTAGAGGTAGATCTGGGTTTGGTTTGGTCAGGATACTCACCCCTCCCCCCCCTTTAAGCCCTCTCTCCCAGCGAAATTATAAATAACTTGTAACTCGCTAGACCTGGTAAGACTGAGAATTATACCCCGGCCGGAAGCTTCCTTACAAGTGGCGCCCGAGCAGGGACCAAGAGGGGTTTAGGGGTGTGGCATGTCGGCAGATTAAAGCCCGCAAGCATGCCCGAATATGTGGTCATGTATCATGTATCATGTATGTGCGAAATATGAAAATAGGGTATTAAGTAGTCCGGTATACCCCAGAGAACATTACAATACCCTGTGTTAGGCATAGCCAGAAAATGAACACGTGCAGCCGGCAAGTAAGATAAAGAGACGAAAGAGACGACATAACGGTCGGTCGTGAGAGTACAGCGCGCGCGCGCCAGCCGGACGACGTCGAGACCACGCTCGCACACGGGTGCCCACACGCGCGGCGCAGTCGACGTCGGCGTCGAAGGACCGTTAAGGCGTCGCGGCAGCGGTTGTACAGTGGGGCGAATCCAACTCACGCGCGGTGAAAAGTTGAATTCGTCAGTACAGCTGTCGGGGGCAGTGAAGTGGTCACCCTTCAAGTGAATGTGAACAAAGGGAACAATAAGAGCGGAACAAGTGACAAATAAAAATAAGTGGATAATAATAAAATTTTCTTTTTATAAATAAAATTAATTAAACAAAAATAAATAAAAACAAGAGGATAAGGATAAAACTTTCTTTTATAAATAAAATTAATTAAACAAAAATAAATAAAAATAAGTGATTAATAATAAAATTTTCTTTTATAAATAAAATTAATTAAACAAAAATAAATAAAAATGAGTGGATAATAATAAAATTAAAATAAACCGAGGTTCACAATAAAGATAAAGGCAGCGACCACATAAGGAACAGCCTAATAGCGGAAAAGTGAGAAAAGAAAATTTTCAAATACCTTTTGTAGTTTTTTTTTTTTTTTTTTGACAAAAAAAAGGGGGACCTTTTGTGGAATATTGTTTTGTATTTTTTTTTTGGTGAAAGATATAAAGACCAAAAGGATAAAAAAAAAAAAAAAAAAAAAAAAAAAAAAAAAAACTAAAGAAGAAAACTAAAAGGAA